CTACCATGATTTTAGTGGTGTTTTTACATAAAAGAATGACCACGTTACCATTGGTGAGGTATAGTCCACAATCTTGCAGACAGTGTAACCAGCAATAAAAATAGGGTGTCTTATTAAACTGATCATATGTATGAAACGACTGTGAAGAGCAAACGAAGAAGGTTTCATGCACAGGACTTGTCTTGCCCCGATACAGCACTGTATTTCTACAAGCACAATGTGTTCTTCACTCATTTTCTTTTTGTAGATTTGTAGCCCTTACTCATACAATTTTTAATTTCGGTATTTGGTTTCCTAGTTTCAGTTCAGATCCGTACTGCTTTAGGAGGGGTTTTACTAGTCCCTTTGGTAACCGCGGGATCAAGCTCACGGGTCATGCCCTGCTCCCACAAGCTCTTGCTCTGGCTACCAGGCTGTCACCCCGCAGGACCTGAGTGCATTCACTTTTTCTTAGTCATCTCTAAATAGTCTTATGGTCAATGGCCTATCGATACAAAAATACTTAAAAAGAGCTATCACAGACACATACTGACCAGATGAAGCAGACAATTCTCTTAAATTTCTCCTTTTAGAGAGACAGGGTCTCTACAGCAGTGATATTTTGACATCAGAAGAGATCAAATACTTTGAAGAAACATTGATTTTCTTCTTCGTTATACTCAGCCCTAACTCCCATTCAACTGACATGCATTAAATGGGAAAAAAAAAAAAAAATCACAGACCCACAATACGTTAACTCAAAATAACTTTGTCCATGTACCAGTGAAAGAAAATTCTAATGGAGCCCATCCTGCCTTCATATTACACATACGTAGCCTAGAGAAGCAGATGCAGGCTAATGCACACTTTGCAATTTAAACACCTAAAAACCTGCTTAATCACAGAACTCGCCACGATCCCATAATCGTTCCTCATGAAATGACTTAAACGCTGATGAGCACTCCCTGCCGTACGGATTTCTTTACCCACCTCTGCTGTCACACATTCCTGTTACCAGTAGCGCCGTGGTGAGGGTATACAGACCGAGAAAACGCGTTCGGCTGGAGCATTTAGAAATGTTTATGGGCGGCACGCTTTGCCGTACACCTCGGACTGACTCTGAGGGCTTATTTCCTGCTTTGCTGAGAGTGAAAGTACACGTACCCGGCTCCTCATTTGCTTGGAAGGCGGCAGATGAGCACAGAGCGCACAGGTCCCGCGGCAGCGCTGAGCAGCCGGCGCTGAGCACCGGACGGCTCCGCTCCCCTCCGAGCGCGCTGGCTGCGGGCTTCGGCGTGGGCCGGGGTTTGGTGCTGCTCAGGAATCCCTTTGGGCTTCGCTACGTACTCCGTAATTAAAGATAGTTTCTCACATGGTAGGTATGTTGCGGTGTTGCTCGCCGAGGGGCAGGTTTTCCGCTCAGCGGAAGCAAATGACCTCAGCTGTGCCGCAGCCCTGCGGGGGCACCTGGGCACGGAGGGCGCGGGGCAGGGGGCGGGAGAAGCGCTCCGGGCAGCACCCGGGGGTTAACGAGAGCCAGAGCCACCAAACCACCGACCGCTTGCCCATGAGGTCATGGGGCTTCCAGGGTTTTTCTTTTGCGCTGCTGCTAACAGCGAGGCGACTGACAGGGTCCCTATGGCCCGTCCAGGGAGCGCAGCCTGTGCAGCAGAGAACCAAAACCTCCTGGTGCTCCACGCTCTATTGTCATGTCAAACAAGGGACTTTATCAGGTAATGCCTGAGAGCGGACTTTGCCCTCTGTTTATAGTATGATTTCATCTCTCTGTGAGGGAAGGTAAACAGCAGAAGCAGAAGGGCAGCACAGATACAGCACTCCGCCCGAGGCCGGGATGTCCACAGACTGTGGTGGCTCAGTTTTCAGAAGCAGGGAAGTGCTCGCGTGTGTCTGTGTGTGTTCACTTACTCAAACCACTTCTTTTCGCGCCATGCGTAATAATCCTCCTTGTAACATGGATGTTTTTCTCTCATCTTCTGAGCTGCATACGTGAGGCTTACTCATCTGTAAAATGGACATGACAATGCTTATCTTCCAACTCATGCCAAGGACCGTGCCGTGAGGATGGTGTTTACATTTACACGTGCAATAGGCCAGATGAAAATTGCCTCGAAAGTACAATAAAAGGGAAATTAACCTCAGTGATATCACGTCTCGACAAGACTTTGTCCTATTTACCAATCCTGATATTTCAATTTTCGTATTTACTTTGCTTCAAATCAATAATGGTTCCTCTCTCGAAACCAGGATTAATTTTGCACATACAGGTAATTTGCTTAATTCAGTCAGTTGACTCAATCTTAGAATCAAATACGTAAATGTCATCATTAGGGTGATTTCTGTTACAATGATAGCACGCTGACGCTGCTACAGAATTTTCTGATACAGTAATTGTTACTGAGCTGCTGTCAAATGCTCCCCAGCTTCCCCTGTTGCAACAATTATGATACAAAGTGGAAATGCATTAATATTAAAAAATACAGTATCTATTATTAGCTGTGATCTAATACTGTTGATGTAATTTTCAGAGAGACGGTGAACCAGCAGCTTTTTATATTATGGAACTATAACCTTCAATTAAGGACTGCTGAATTAAGCTAAAAGATTCTTACGTTAAAAAACCCAAACAACTGTTTCTGTCCTTAATGAATTATTAAACACATTTAAAAAGTGGCACTTTTACAGCTTTCCCCTGAGGTATGATAAAAGGATTGGTAGCAAGAAGAAGATTCAGGTTCAGTTTTCTTGCTGCCAGCTGTCAGAGCAGACGTACCCTCTTGGTTGACAGAAGGCTGTGAAGGTTGCTCCACACTCTCATCTGCTGCCGGAGGGACTGTAGTGCCAGGAAATTTCCACTGCACGTGACCGAAGGAAGATACACTGCATTTTGTGGCTGCTTTCATAGTTAAACTAGGGAATATTTAATAGCTCCAGTTATATTAATTATTAACATATGATATTATTAATTATATGAACATTATATATTTATATAAGGATAAATTAAATTTATACATATAATATTGAATATTATTAAATGCAACTGTTTAGTTGTAGGTGCATCCTTGAAATGGAGCCTATTACCATAGAATGATCTGGTAAATCATAAAGCATATTTATTATATTCATATTATTTGTGAAATTAAACCTCCTAGGGAATATAATTTGTATCAGAGTTATTTGGTGTACAGCAACACACTGCTAACTACTTATTTTGGCTTGATGGATCCATTTCTTTACTAAGTAATGTGTCTTACAGAATTAATAATTTATTTCACCTTTATTTTTTTCCTCAGAGACTCTTCAAATCTCTGGAGTTCATTATATAATACCTTATTGTTTTGTATTGAGCCCATCACAAAATGTCAGTAACCTTAACATATGTCAGGTGTCTTAACATAATCTCTCATTTTGGAAGGAATTTTGTATGCTGTCAGGCTTCTCTACACAGGTGCTAATGCCTTAACTTCTTGGGTTCTATTTCACCCAGTTTTTGTGGTGAATTACAGTTGTCGGTCATTTTGGGGAAAATTTGCACACTTCCTCAGAACAGCATCAATACAAAGATATTCCTACAGCCATGGGGTGACGAACCTCTTAGCACCCAACGCATTCAAACAGGGACTCGAGCTTTGGCATCTGAGTGACCTGGGTTGTTTTAGCTATTCTGGGAACATCTTGGTCTGTTTTGTCAAAAACTTCCACAAACCTCTGTTTACTCACGAACAGATGTCTGCCGGGGACTTTTTTTCTGACAACGGGCCAGACCCAGGCCACAGGGGCTGAAGATCCCAGGCCCCGTGGCTGATGGTGGGAGGGCCGGGCAGTTTCAGGGCCCTCCCGCCAGGCTCGCAGCACGCTGAGAGCGACGGAAAAGGGCGGGCGAGGCCAAGGCCCGGCACAGGCCGCATAGGGAACACGTCCCTTGCCTTCGGGGCGTGCCCCGGCGAACACCCTCGGCACCCTCTTCCCTCGCAGCGCTGCTGCCGGGAGTCTGGGCTGACTCACAAGATGGCCGCCGGCCCCCGCGGCCCGCGCAGCCGCTCGCAGGGCGGGGCCGCCGCGCGTCTCCTTAGCAACCGAGCTCCCGCCGCC